GGGGCATTACCCACGCCATAGAGGGGGCTGAAAAAAAGCGGGGGGGGGGGGGGGGGGGGGCAGAACGCCCCGGGGAAAAATATAATTCTCTCGGGGAAAAACGGATACATTCTTCCAGAATAAAACTGATCAATTCCTCCAGAGTAAAACGGATGAATTGGATGCACATCAAAACCAAACACACACTACATTAAACTAAGGTGTGCACAGACACATCTCCCTCCTCCTCCCCCCTCCTGCCCCCTCCTGACCCGTGGCCCATTTTTGGCTCCAGCAGTTTTGGCCATGAGCAGGCCTGCCAAACTTCGGAAGCTTAACGATTTCAGGTACAGCTTACCACATGCGTCTCAAGTTGCATTGGCGGCTTTTCTTCGAAAGGCAAAATATGGGGACCTTCCAGACTTGTCTCGGGCAGCTGACGTCCGCGATGCAAGGGGCGCAGCATGTAATGCGAACACGCCATGCGGCCCTCTGACGCAAGAGGCCCAGATGATCCCAAAGAAAGGGGGGCCTTTCACGGTAGAGGTGGCGAATATGAATTGTTATTTGCATGTTGCGTCACAACGAACACTGTTCGCTAACTTGATCAAAGAAACATACGCTCGAGACCCGTGCTCGATATCAAAGCCTGGGAAAGTGGTCATATACTCGGATGAGGCAAAGCCTGGCCACAAGCTTAAGCCTCTGAACAAAAGAGCACACCAGAACGTGTACGCCTCGTTCATCAACTTCGATAGCGCTGCGTTGTCTAAAGAAGCTTTCTGGCTTTGTTTGGCTTCAGTTAAAAGCACAGACGTGGCCAACTGCGAGGGTAGAATGGCTCAACTAATTGCGGGTATTATCGAGCTCTCATTCGGCACCCAGGGCCACGACGTGGCGACTGCTGGCATCTCTCTCGACGTGGAAGGCGGATACAACATCAGGTTGGCGTGTGTGTGCGTGCGTGTGTGTGTGTGTGTGTGTGTGTGTGTGTGTGTGTGTGTGTGTGTGTGTGTGTGTGTGTGTGTGTGTGTGTGTGTGTGTGTGTGTGTGTGTGTGTGTGTGTGTGTGTGTGTGTGTGTGTGGGGGGGGGGGGGGGGGGGGTAACGTGCAAGAGCGCATCCCATAAAAAAACGTCTGAACGTTGTTCCAGTCGCACAAATGGGGCCCAGACGGGTCCGCATGCTTGGCTGTCTCATCAGTTCTTTTCTCGGTTGGGCCGTTTGGTATTTTTTTTACGTTTCGGCTCATGGCCCTCGTTTGTTTGATGAAGGGAGGGGGTTGCTGGTCTTGCATGTTGCCCCCCATTGTCTCCGAGAGGCTCTACGGCAGCATTGCTTGCATTCTCGGTGATGAGAGCGCATTGCACCAAACCTGGTTATGCAAGGGCAGCGGCGGGGTCACGGCGTGCGTGGAGTGCTGCAACATCTGCAATAATAAATGGAAGGGTGCACATCTGCTTGGACCGTCAACTTTCTCCCAAGAGTATACCGCCGTGTATTCGTTGAGAGGTTGCGTGGAACATACTCGTGACAGCATATTCTGCATTATGGATGACTTGGCAGCGTCCAAACTTGCCATGAACAAAGGCGAATTCCAAGACAAAGAAAGGATGTTCGGCTTCAGCTATTCCAAGCACAGCCTCCTGGTGCAAGCAGAGTTGCGAGGCGTCGTGAACCCGGCAGACCATAATTGCTACGACTGGGTACACAACCTTCTCCAGGGAGTGTTCCAGACAACATTATACCTTGTGATTGCAGCGCTCTCAAAGTCTGGCATCAAGCCTTCTCACATCCATGAGTTTTTGAAGCTTTGGCAGTGGCCCCTGAAGGTTCCCAGCAAAGGTGTGACTGGCACCGACGTGTTCTGCCCAAAGCGCGCGGAAGGGTCGTGGGAGGCTCAGAACTGGAGAGCATCGGCTTCAGAATGTCTCAGCTTGCACAGTGCTAGCATACTACTTCCGATCGGTAGTTCTGCCGACGGGCAAGCACATCCTGGAGTGCAATGCGTTTCTTTGCCTTTCTACGTTGATATCACTCTTGTGGTATGGGGGGAAACTGGGTGTCTCGGCCACGGCAGTGAATCAAGCAGCGGAACAATTTCTGGCGGCATCTGTTGCAGCATTTGGGGTGGACAGAAATTTATGGAAGCATCACGGGCTGCTGCATCACTCGGAGGCCGTGGCGAAGTATGGATTTAGCCCTCATACCATTACAGTTGAAAGAAAACATAAAGACATATTGAGATTCACAAATGACAAGTGCTGCGACACAACCACTCTGTTGCGAGAGGTCGTCAGCAAATCATTGTCTGAGTTCGAAAACGCTGAATACCTTGATCTGTCAGTTGGCTTGGTTTCACCTAAGCAGCCTTCTAAGAAGATAACAACATGTTTGAACGAGGATGTTGGTAATCATCCACACATGGCCTCTTCGAAGGCTAGGTTTTCTCGGTATGATACTTGCCACATGGGTGACATTGCTGCTGTGCTATCCTTTGATAAGTCGTCGTGGATAGCAGTCAAGGTTTTATTTTTCGCGTCCACGCTGGGCGCCATTTATGCAGCCGTCCAGCCGTACAAATGTCTGGAGCGTTCTAGGTGGTGCAGTTCTTGGGTGCGCGACAGGTCTCCCATGTACGTTGGTATACATGATTTCAAGGAGGTGTTAATTCATTGTGACAACGGGGGTTGTCTGAAAGTACTACACCCCCTCTTTAGTTTCCTGAGACCACTGAGTCTGCAGCGTTGTGTTTACGTGGGGTCGCGAGCACAAGCAAAAACAAACAACTTGATACAGCATCCTTTTACCGCTGGCCCTCCTCGCTCCTGCACTCCCCGCCATTCCTTTTCCGCCTGCCTCTGGAAGAGACGTCGCTGATTGTGAGATCAGGTTTGCCACTGGCTCTGCCGTTCCGCCTGCCTTTGTCCGTTCCGCGGTGATGAAAACTCAGCGTGGGCGCTCTGTGTTTTGAAGGCTGTCGAGGTACGTTTTTGTCACTTCGGAGGGCCGCAAAAGCGTTTAGCGAGGTTTGCTAAACCCGTTTAGCGAGGTTTGCTAAAGCCGTTAAACCCTTTAGCTAAAGCCTGGTCGAAGCTGGAACTCGTTAGCTAGACCACTTACTAAACGCACGACAACCGTTAGCATTTCACCAGGCGGTCTACCGCATCAGACGCTTACTAAACGACTTGGCTAACGTCTTAGCACCACCTGGCAAAGCTGTCCAACCCCTAGCGAACCATGCAAAACTTGCCAAACGCAGCGTCCCTCCAAGCAAGGGGCTTGAGGCCTGGGCCGGCCTGGAACGCAACGCCGCCAGCTACAGTTCAGGAAGGGCCGCGCGGTCCTTGGCGCTATGGAGGCCCCGACCCCATCCCAAAGGGGCCACCAACCCTGAGCCTGTGAGTGCTGTGACTGGCGCTGCTGGCAGGGCCCTTCCAGGAGCGCAAACTCCGGAACAAATCCTCCCTGAAACGGCCGTGTCGCGCGGGACATCCTCAACAAATAGCGAAGATGGCCCAAGATGGCCTCCAAGTCCGCCCAAGATGGTCCAAGACGGCCTCCAAGACGGCCCAAGAGAGTCCAAGACGGCCCAAGACCGCCCAAGAGGCCCCCGAGAGGCCTCCCAGACGGCCGCGGGTCCCGACCCCCTCAGCTGTCAGGCAGCAGCGCCAAGAGCAGACGGTACGCCCTGAAGCGCTCGCGCGCGGGGCGCGCGGGAGGCGCACCCGCTCCTGACCCCCCGCGGCGCTCTCTCTCCCCCCGTTGCCCTGGCTTCTGCCTCGGCCGTTCCTCGCCCGCCTCCTTCTGGTGGGCGCGCTGCCGCTCGCGCGAGTGCCTCGGTTCCCGCCGGCCCGGCTAGTGCTTAACCCTGCCCCGAGAGGGGCCGACTGCTCTCGCGTGGGTTGACGGCATGGTGAGTCGCCTGCCCGCTGACGACCAGCATGTGTGTGTGTGTGCGTCTGTGTGTGTGCGTCTGTGTGTGTAGATGTGTGTTGTGTGTGCGTTGTGTGTAGATGTGTGTGTGTGTGTTGAGTGTGTGTGCGTCTGTGTGTAGATGTGTGTATAGATGTGTGTTGTGTGTGCGTTGTGTGTGTAGATGTGTGTGTTGTGTGTGTGTCTGTGTGTAGCTGTGTGTGTAGATGTGTGTTGTGTGTGCGTTGTGTGTGTTGTTTGTGCGTGGAGTCTTTTGTGTGAAATACTGAGCTCGAATTCCTCAGTTGCAGAAGCGGGAAGTTTGGTACGGCTGGTTCGTGTCGTGTCCACCGGCGGCGACCCCGCCGCCGACGTTCAAGGTTGAACGCCGGCGGCGGCCCAGAATCGGTCGATGTGGAACGATTTCGACGTTGCGGAGACGGCCGATCGTTCAAGGTTGAACGATCCAGCGCGGTGTTGGGAACCAACGCTGGGGTCGACACGGCACGAACCTGCCGTATGCTCGTGCTCGTGCGTCTGTCTTGTGGTGCGCTGCGTTTTCGGAGCAGAATTTTCACGTCTCGGTGGACACCCGTCGTCCTGCCCCTGCTGCTCCCGCTCCTTCTCTTCCTCCTCCTCCTCCTCCTCTTCCTCCTCCTCCTCCTCTTCCTCCTTCTCCTCCTCCTCCTCCTCCTCCTCGTCCTCCTCCCCCTCCTGCTCCCGCTCCTCCTCCTCGGCCTCCTCCTCCTCCTCCTGCCCCTGTTCTTACCGCGTTTGCGGTGGGGGAGGGAGTTTTCAGACGTGCGCACGACCACTGTGGTTCGTTGTTGCGCGCGTATGTTTTTATAGTCGTACGGTAGGTTTGCGTCGTGTCGACCAGCGGCGACCCCAGCGCGGGCGTTCAAGGTTGAACGCCGCCGGCGACCCAGAATCGATCGATGTTGAACGATCGGACGTTGCGACAGCGGCCGATCGTTCAAGGTTGAACGATCCCTGCGGTGTCAAAAACCAACACTGGGGTCGGCACGACACGAACCTGCCGTACGCACGCACCTATGACTTGCTTCGATAGCCTAATCACACATATTTTCAACCATGTCCCCCCAGGTCTCCGTCACGGCGGCTCCACCAGCAGACGGTTTCTTCAATGCCTTTGTAGACTCCATGGCAGAGGCTCGTCCGCCCTTCTCTGCGAAAGCGTGTGCTTGCGCTGTTGCGGCATCAGGCGCTCCGTCTTCCATCCTTCCCTTCATCCATCTTTCGGGCTTGATGAAGTAGAAGGTACCGATGAGAGGGAATCCGTCGTCACCGTGGTACAATCCGGAGAACCACCGCTCTCATGTACACATTGTGTTGGTACATGGGAGAGCGTCGCTCCGATCCCGAGTCGCGTTGGTAGTGTGATGTGCGCTGGTGTATGCTTTCAGAAGACCGTGAGGCACTGAACACCTGATCCCCTCAGTCCAGCTGCCTGAACTCTCCCCACCGTGCCACCCCATTATTCTGTGTTGCGACTTTTCGAGGGGGCACGGAAGGCCGTCACGTATGACACGCCGTGATGAGGATGAGAAAGATGAATGATTTGATGATGGTGACGAGCAGGAGGAGGAAGATGATGATGAGGATGAGGAGGAGTAGCAGAAAGAGGTGGAGGAAGAGGAAGGCCGTCACACGCGACACTTTTTGTTTCTATTTGTCGAGGAGCTCTCATGGATTGTGTAGCCGTGGGGGTCAGAGTTCGGTGGTTTCTATAGAATGGAGGAAATCGAGGAAGTTGCAGGGTCATTTCGCTCCACCATCCAACTTCTTGGTATGCGAACTACATGCAATATTCATGTGTTTTTCGCTGCAACTTGCATGTTTGTCTTAGAAGCAGCACGATCTGATCCACGTTTGCCTGCGATTCGCATTTGTTGTGCGCGTGCGAGCCACCCGTTTCTATTTGCAACTGCGGCGCGCTTGCCACGAGACGCGAGCGTGTCGGTTGAGTTCGGGGCAGCGTCTCGTTGAGAGTCGGCGCGCGCCGCCCCCTCGCTCGATGCCTCTGCCGCCAACGGCAGTAGGGGCATCATTGTCGATGCGCCGCTCGCTGGTGCGACTCTTGTCTTCTGCGTCCGCCCTGAATGACAGTGGCATTGGTGCTTCGACTGTCTACCCCGCCCTTGCGTCTGACATCCGCTAGCTGTATCGCAATTGACGCGCCAGTTGTGTAATCTGTTCGTGAATTGTCTGCGGGCGATCCTCGCTGCTCGCGGCGTCGGCACTGGTTTGTGTGGTTCGTAGTCAAGTTTTGCGATGGGGGCCGCGGGTCTCAGCAGAGGCCCGCGTTAGTTGCGCGGAAAGTTATCGTTTGTTCGCCGTGGGCGCGCGCCCCACCCAACGCTTGGTCGCTCCTGTTTGTTTGTGCCCCGTCGCTTCAGCAGGGCAGCGACGCGGGGCGCGATGCTTTGTTTTCGTCGCGCAGTTGCGCCGCACTTGCATCATTGTAGCCGTGTTGTTCCCGCGGCCCGCTTGAAACTGCCGACGTCGAAGCCGCCGTATGCGGCGCGCAGGGTGGCGGCACCAGTTGAGTTTTGATTCGTTTGACAAATGGCAATCCCTTGTGTTCCGCGTCGGTGCCCTGACCGCTGAGCTACGCGACTTCGCAAAAAAACTAGCTCCCTCGCATTATGTCTCCCTGTTCCCTCGTTCATCCCCGCCCCCCGTCTTCATGTACCCAGTACCCCAGTTCGTCTCATTATTTAGCCCCCCCCCCGGTTCAACCAACGTTTCCTATGTGTAACACTTCCCCAAACAGATCTTACAACATGTCCCAGGCAGTCCTTGCAACGTGTCTCAAACAGTGCTTGCAGCTTTTCCAAAAACAGTGCCTGCAGCGTCCTCGGCAACAGTGCTTGCCAGTGTTCCCCTCTCAGTGCTTGCAGCGGCTCTTCAAACAGTGCTTGACTCGTCCAGGCTGTGCTTGCAACGTCTCACTAGTGCCTTTCAGTGCTTGCAGTGTCCTGCGGGGCGTGGAACGTCTTACAGCGTGCGCAGTGTCTCTGCAACCCAGCGGTGGAAACAATGTCCCCGTGGCGCTCTCAGAAGGACTCACCGTTAACATCGTTATAACCACCATCGTCACCATCGTCATCATCACCGTCTTCCGTCTCCTCCTTCTCCTCCCCCTTCCCCCCCCGTTCCTTCTTCTCCGTTGCATCATTCGTATCCTCATCCTCCTCTTGCTCCTCCTGCTCCTCCTCCCCCTCCTCCTTCTCTTCCTCTTCCTCCCCCTCAGTCTCAAACTCTTTATTGGAATCCTCACCCTCCTCCTCATCCTCATCCTCCTTCACATGCCCCCCCGCCAGCAGTCAACAATCAGGCACATGTTGATGCCTACCAAAGTGGTCATAGTCTATATTGGCGCAGTGTCCGAGCCAGTGCTTGCAATTCTACTACAAAACGTCGTTTGTACTATGTTCGGCGCAGTGCTTGCAGCGTTTCCCCATGCAGTGCTTCCAACCTCTCCTCAAACAGTGTTTGCTACGTCTCGGCAGGGGGTTCGGTATGGGCAGTGGACAACGTTCAATGTTGATGTGGTGATGTGAGGATGTGATGGTATTGCCGTTTTGGCTCAAACCGAGGAGATCCTGCTTCCAGCTTGCAGTGCTTGAGGCCCTCTGTCCTGTGTTGAGGCTTCAGTTTCTGTGTCGCACACAGCATGGACCAACACATCGAGGATGTGCCGATGCCGTTGGCGATCGGGGGTTTGGTTGCAGGCGGCCCTCCAGATGCAGACGGCGATGATCACATTGCCGTGCCGCCGCCTCTGGCGCTTCCAGCGCCAGCGCCCCTTGCCCGCCTTGATCTCAAGAGAAGGACGCCCGAGCTCATGAGCCACGCTCGTTCCAAGAAGATGTTGTTGTGCGCCCAGGGCCGCGAGTCGAAACTCCGCCAAGACTTTGAACAGCTCAAAGGGGACATGCACACGGCTTGTACGTTGATCCCTGCATGCGCCCAATTGTTCGGGCGGCCCGTGAAACACGTCGGCAGGATCAAAAAGGACGACCTCAGACCAGCACATTTCACCGTCTTGAGCAGGATTGTCTTTGCCAGACGCCTGGGCACGCTGAACATTGGCATCGACATTCGGCGGTTGGTGTGCGCCGCAGCCCGCGTGATCAAGGCCAGGCAGGATGATGGCGTGGAGCACGTCCTCCGCGGCGGTGAGAAGGCTTTGCAGCACCCAGGTGCCAGCAATCGGTTCGTCCACATGTCATATGCTCATTTGTGGGACGAGGTCAGCTGCAAGTTCGCAGCATATCCGAAGATGGGGTGCCGCCGCAGGAAGACAACCACGAGCATTCAGACGATCTGCCAGCGAGGTTACGCCAGGCTGACCTTGGCTAACCACATCAACGACGAGAGCGCGATCAGCAGATCGCTCTGCGAGCAGACCCTTGTCAACCCGATGAAGGTGAGCGGCACTTCAGCCAATGCGATCCTACCCGCTGTGTTGAAAGCAATCCCGCGGCCATTCCAGTTCAACGCCGTGGAGAATATTGATCGGTTGTTGCGTTCGTTCTCGTCCTTCACGGTGGCTCTGACTGGTGACAAGGCGTCTGGGAACATCCTCTTGATGAAGCAATTCTGTCACCAATGGGAAACGATGGTGCTTCCGCGCAGCAGCGGTCGGCTTCTTGTGTTCCCAGAGACGTGTGGCGTGCACTTAGAACACCGCACAAAATTGCAAGTTGTACCGCTCAAGCACCACACAATGCGCCTCTTCAGCTTAGCCAACTTGCTTCGCCTTGACGGTGTGCGGACCAGCATATGCGAGTCGATCGAAGTTCTGGTGCAGAAGATGCTCGGGCGGCGGGTCCTCGGCCCGCCGCCAGACGGCATTGCCTGCCCGCTGTCCAAGTGCATCAATGTTCTCTTCCGCCCAGATGCGGACCACCACAAGCGCGCCAACGGCAAGGTGTCTCGGAGGGTACAGGACCTGGGTGAATTGATGAGAATGGTCAACGGGGATCTCCACGGAGATGGGGTGCATTATTGCTGGGACGAGTCAACTGGCAGGCCGTGTTGCAGGGACGCCGACACTTGCTGCGAGAGAACAATTCGTTCGGTCACGAATGCGCTGTATGGCGGCGGGGACCCTAGTCCAGCAGAAAGCAGGTGGACGCACACCTTGGTCAATATGAAACAGTTGCTGCTGATGCGAATCGTGTGCAATATCGGCGTGAAGGCGTTCCCGCGTTCGATCAGAAAACCTGGCGCAGCCAGCGAGATGCCGCAATCCGCCGGCGGCGAGGCATGTCAATCGCACGTCGCTGAGGTGAATGCGTCGCGGCTGTCACGGGTTGGCGTGTATTTTGATGACCCCGAGACTTTTCCAGAGCTGGCCTTGCTCACGGTTTCCGTGGGCATCATCGACAGGCGTTTGTTGTACCCACTTTTGGGCGACCCATGGCCCGCGGATGACGACGCCCGCAGCAAATTCGAGCGTCTCCTGGACCCAGATGATATGATTGCCTGCGGCTGCTCCCGCCACCGCGCCAGCCCAGCCGCGTCGGTGGTTTTTGCGCTAGGGGGCGCGTGCGTTTTACAAGTGACGCGTTTGGTTTTTCAAACTAAGATAATACCTCTGCAGCCATGGCGGCCACCACTGGTGATTGTTATGGCGGCAGGGGCATTGCATGTGGCGAAGACGGCGGGGATGATGGTGGCGATGGCTTCTGCTGCTGCGAAAGCGGCAACCGCGGCGATGACGACGGCGGTTCTCCCGCGAGGGAGGCGCCGAAACAGTAGCACGTGACACTTAGTCACTTCGGCTGCTTCAGGAAAACGACGACGGCGACGACGATAGGGGGGGGGGGGATGGGGAGCGGGAAGGGGGGGGGGGGGAGGAAGGAGGAGGGGAAGGAGGAGGAGGAGGAGGATGGGGAGGAGGAGGGGGGGGGGGAGGAGGAGGAGGAGGGAGTGAAGAAGCAACGAAGTAGACATTCGCCCGTTTCGCCCGAGACATTCTCTGACGCATGCGGTATTGAAATCTAAGGCCTGGCCATCGGAACGTCGCGCAGGGCGCGGGGGGGGGGGGGGGGGCGGTGGGGGTGGTGGTGGTGGGGGGGGGGGGGGGGGGGGGGGGGGGGGGGGCAAGAGAGAGAGTTGTCATATGCGGCCCGTCCGTC